TACTCCAGCTCTTCCCTTCACCTATTTCATCTATACTTTTTTCACAAAATAAATTTTACTGATCCCTGATATTTTCGTTTTTAAAAMATTCCACATATCATTTGATGGTGTCTTAGTTTGTTTGGGCTGCCATAAGGGAACCATGAAGTCAGAGCCCTCATGACCTAATAACTTCCCAAAGGTCCCCCTTTCTAATACTGTTACATTCGGGAATTAGATTTCAATGTATGAAATTTTTAGGGGATGCAAATATTCCTACCATATCATATGGTTAGGATGTTTTYTTTCCTTCCTTTTTAGATAAGTCTACCTCCTGACTAGAAATCCCAGCACTCTACATCTTCTCTGGAGTACTTCTCCCACCTAGTCCTCATGTCTGCAAAGTATAAAGCTTCTTTTGATTCCTTAACTTCTGACCTGTGCCTGGGTCTATGATAGTCCATGTGATCTCTTTTGAAACTCTTATAATTAGWTAAAGATGGAGTTGGCAGCCTTAAAGAATAAAAGATTCATGAGAAGTATGCTTCTTAGGAGAAGAACGGATGTCCCAAATGGGTGGGAGGCAAAAGTAAATATTTTAAATAAGTAGGGAAAGCCACAAACTATTTGGTCCTGGCTACCCATTTTCTTGTTTTGATTTCTAGAGTGTTTCCCCTTGAGATTTTCTAGTTGACTATCCCAGTGTTACAAATTAAGATTCTCTTATCCCATAACTTTTTGTTCTTGGAATTCAGTGAACTAGAATCAGAGTCCTCATTCCAATCCTAGACCTTTTCAGAGTCAGAGAAATGAGTGATTTTTTTCCCCCCAAGAATGGAACTGTCCACATGGAGAGGTAATAGAGTCCACTTGCTGAGATCTTCTACATATAAAACAAAAGACTCCAACTTAAATTGGCATACACAGTAAGGCAATGCATTATCCTATGTGAGAAACAGAGCAGATGACAGGATTGGTTGATCTATTTACACAATGTCATCATCAAGGATACAGGTCCATTTCTTCTCTCTGCCTCTGTTGTCCTTGGGGACTGGTTCAYGGTAGGACTAATCCTTCTCATACTCACAAGATGGCTATAGCAGTTCAGATGTCTCTTGCAGCCACYACAATATCTAGAGCACAGAAGATGAAACAACTGACTGCATTCCAAGGTTTCCTTTTAAAGACTATGAAAACGTTATTAAGAAGATTCCCAGAGGGCCTCTCACTCATTGATTGGAATTGGTTCATATCCTCATCTCTCAGTCAGTCACTAGCAGGGAATCATTGCCTGAGAGAGAAGATGGATGTGAACAAACTTAGGATTCTTTTAGCAAAAAAGATGTATGGTGTATGTGTTTTGGGGGAGGGGAAGTTGGGAAGGTAGATTACTGGGGTATCTGTGTCTTGTTGTGACTTGGAAAATAACTGAAATTCCCTTCTTGACTGCTGTATAGTTGGTAGGTACCACTGAATGGCTACACGTTTCTGGACACGAAAGGGCAAGACCTAGGTAGACAGACAAAAAAAAAAAAAAAAAAAAGCCACAATACAGACCAAAATTAAAGGAAAAATGATCCAGAATCAATAATTGTCCTGATTGGAATCACAATAAACCCTACTGAATTTGAATGAACTAATTTATGTCTTTTAATCCTCAATAAATGTATGATCTTTACTGAATAAAAAGAGATTAAATAACTTATTTATTTGTCAATAATTCTGTATTTCCAGTATGTTATTTTGCATTGTAGGCCTATTTAAATGTAAACTTTTTATTAACTTTATTTCTATATCATAGTGTTAATAAGACTGATGATTACTGATGATTACAAGTGACTATTGTTGAGGGCCCTTTCATAAATTAGGATTTTAGCATCCAAGAAGAGCTGGTAATTTGCTTTTGTCACACAACAAACATATAAGTGGCTAAGCTAGGATTTGGACTTAGGTTCATCTGCCTAACCCTTCCTACTCTCCATGGCTTCCCTTCACTTGGAAAACAGTCCCCAGTCTACCATGATCTGCAGGGTATTAGGTGATAAGGCCCTGACCAAACTTCAAAAACTGTGACCTTATTACCTACCCTGTTGCCCTCACTCAGTTTGCCAACCATATGTCTTCCTCGTTAGTCTAATAAGCCAGACTCATTCCTACTTGTGACCCTTTGCATTTGCTCTTCCCTCTGCTTAAATCACATGTATTTGGTTCTTACAGCTACATCTTCCCCTTCAGGCCTTTAAATGTCTCCTCTTCACAGGTACCTCTTATTTTTATCTGTCTCCTCCACTAGAATATAAGTTCCATGAGGGCTGAAACTTACAGTAAAATGAGTGAAAAAAACAAGTGAATAAGTTAATGAATGAATATTTATAAGTTTTGATTTCTAATAATCCACAGTCAGTCTTTATTGCCTTCTCTAAGAATAAGGYAAGATGTCAGTTGTCATTTAAACTTGAATATGTCCATCTCAGATTTTTCCCTATAAAATTTGAGGACTAACAAAACTTATATTTCACTCTGTTTGAGGGCAAGAATAGATATGGATATCAAAATTCTTTAGAGAAGATATACTTACTATGGTATTATGTGAAAGTTTTGAGAGAGCCTAGAACAAGAGGGAATTTGAGTCATACTCTCTAGGTTTTTAAAAATTTATTATAGTTTTAAGGATATCACCAACACTTTTATTTTGGCATAAGCCCTTAAAAAATGAAGTTACTTCTAAGGCTGGTTGTAAACTGGGAGAAATTTTAATTGCATCATTTGTGATGGCAGATTCATGTAAACAAAATAAAATTGTTTTCTTGGCATACACATAATTTTTCATTTGAACTCATGTATCTGCTAAAGTGATTTCTTCTCAGAACTGTATTCTTAATTATTTTGAAGTAATTATGAAGGTACAAATTGAAAACTAGCTTTACCTTACATATTAATTTCCAAGAGATCAACAGAAATAAAACAGGGTGCTTCTTTGCAAAGTCCCTTTTCTCTGGCTTTCACCTTCCCCGCTAATGTAGTTATTTTGTGGAATGTTGTTCTTCTTCTTTAACTGTTTCTCTTTGGGTTGTGGTGCTATTTGCTAACTGTTATGCGGCATTATTTTTGAGACTTGCAGTGTGAGTGTCTGAGACTCATTTGACTTTGACAAGAACTTTGCATTCCCCTCCTCCCTGTTTATCTTCCTGAGGCTCTCCCCAGGCGCTCTCACAAGCTCTGGTGGTTCTGCACATCATATCATTCTAAATCCTTTTGTCTTCGTTTTCTGTCTCCTGATGTACCCACTATCAGAAAAACCTGTTAGAGTCACTTACAATGATATATACTTCTGAGCTAAACTCCCCATATCGGATTTCCAAAAACAGATCTAAATTTTATGGTGAGTAAAAACACATCTGTATTTAGAGTCATTTTTAATCCAGTTCTTGCAGATTGTTTTTAGGTTATGCCTCAGAAACAAGTCATAAAAAATGGAGGGGAAAGAAAGGGAAGAGGATATTATGCTGTTTGCCTGATACTATGTATGCTAGCGGGGACTACTTTCTTCCTCACTTTATTCGCATTTTWTAACCTGAGTATAGTTGGGTGTATAATTGTGTGAATTTATCAGGGATAAATGAGATCAATAATTAAAGGACTTAGTCCATGAACCATTATTATTTAAGTTCAACAGGTGTACAGTCTATGTAAGCTCTTGACAGCCTGCCTTTGACAGGGCAGTTTTCATATATAATAGATTGGCCCTTTTATGGATCAACTGAAGTTCCCCCCACCTTTTTTTTCTTTTCTTTTCTATGTGGGTGAAAAACAGCATGACACTATAGAAAATGTATAGCAAAAGCTGTAGCAATGAGAACAAATCCATAATGGGTACACACATTGCTGGAATATTTCCCAAGTACTTTGGGGGATGGCAGTGAGGTTTCTTTGGCTGAGGCAAAGTGGAACATGTGCTTTTCCATGTGTGAATACTGTGATTTGAAAGGTCCTTTTATGATTCACAAAAGCAGCTGCTTTTGAGTTGGTGTAGTTATGGAGTTTTGGAGATTCATTTAAATAGGTGTATTGCAGACTCCTGACATCTGTTCTAGAGATTTGGTTGGGTTTTAGGAACTTGCTTATTCACAAGTGACATAGAACAAGTATCCTTCATTGAACCCTTTGCTTGTTTCTTTAGGATTTGTGGATCAAAGCTAACAAAAAGACAAAATTTAGAAGAGTCATTTACTGTGTTACATACRTCTGCAAGGATGGCCTTCCTAATTTTAAAAACTATGAATAGCAGTTTTACTTTGCCTAGTAAAACATTATGAGTTACCCTCAGGCATATTTTGTTGCATTGGAAATCTTTCTTGTTATATATTTGTAACTACTGGGGCATTATTTTTCAGTGAGTTTTTCATTTTTTTCCCCATAGTTTTACCTAAGGAAAAGTGTGAATCTTATCTGTATTTCTATTCCATCTTTCAGTATTAGTTTTTGTCTACTCTTTTTTATCATTATGAAGTTATTTTCTCTTTTCTAAGGATTTTAGACCTAAATGATACTAGCAATATTGTTTCCTATCAGGCACTTTCAACAAAGGTCATCTGTGATCAGTTCTTCAAATGAGATAATAAATAACTAGGATATGATTCACTTTTTTCTAGTTGGTTTTCAATTTATTAGATACTGATATAATTTAGCATTTTTACAGGTTCCTTTAAAATGAATGTGAAGGTTATTTTGTTGTTGTTGTTGTTGTTGTTGTTTTTAACGGATGATAACTATTATGTTTCTAAATGACAAAGCAAAAAAAAAGATTACCCCAAAATAAGATTAGTGTGGATATCTTGAGCTGGAAATCATCTGAAATGTTTCATGGCTACATTTGTGCTAAATATAAAAATAATTGTGTTGCCCATGTGTGAGCATCAAAAGTCCCAGTTGGAAAACTGCGTGGTATAGCAAGTAGGTCACTATTGATGGTAGAACATGAGACAGGAAATGTCAGAGCTAAGATTAGAGGCCCAAGCAATATGTCTCGCCATGCTTGCTGCATTGGTCGTCCAAAGAAGAAGAAGGACTCGACAGGGTATAACTAACTTTAGCCCAATTTGAAAGTATTAGCAAGGGTTGCCTTTTAATCTGTCATTCCCATTTGTTTCTAGATAACTCACTTCTCCAGTTTGGCAAAATAATTGAGCTGCACAATTCCTAGGCTCAAATAATTGGGTTTGCACATTGACAGATCTCTGATGCCAATTAGAATGGCAGCCTTGACATTCTAAAAGTATACATGGAAAGCAATAATCAGTTATGTACAATTACATCTGTGGATTTACCTGGTATTTGAAACTGTTTTTTAGGGAATAACCAATCAGTTAAATGTGAATTATCTTAAAAATCTCTTTTATCTTTATATTTGAAGGTGTGGTAGTATAGGGGAGAATGGAGGGGAGTACACTTTTAGGGAATGCTGTAAACTTTTCCTTTTTGAGGGGGGCAGTAAGAGGGAGATTTATTATTCATATGTTGGAATTTTTCATCACAGAAGGTATTTGATGTTTGTAAGCATACTTGCATGTACTAATTTTTAAGCAAAAGGCTAGGAAAAGAAAAAAAACAGTGCTCTCCTGGCTCTGCTCTGATGAGAGTTAATACCACATTCTTGGGCTCAAATCAAGATGGTTCCTTGGATTCTGAGCATAGCCATCCCCTTATGCTAGATTAAGCAGTTGAACACATGCCCAAAGAGCCTGCAGTTATTTGGATGACTAGATAGAGGCATGCCGTGTTGATTGAATTTGGATCTGTCGTTAGAGCCATATTCATTCATTTCCAGCACAGAGTCCTTCACAGAAGTACCCTGGCTTATGGATTCAGTGAACTTTGAGTGGCTAGTTTTATTGCTTGAATCTCAGAGGCCTTCCTAGGCTCATTTTTTTCAAAGATTATTAATGCAGATTGAAACACTCTACTTTGAGCTAGGATTATTTTGTGTAGGTTATAACTTTTAAGAGGAGAGGTGAATTGTGTGAAGTCTCAGTGGAAAAAAGTACTTTTAAAAATGTATTATTTTATGGTTGTTAAAATACAAATATAACATAAAATTTAACCATCTTAACCATTTTAAGGCATACAGATCAGTGGTATCAATCCATTCATGATGATGTACAACCTTCTCCAGAACTTTTTTTATCCTTTGTAAAACTAAAACTCTTTAAACGGTAACTCCTATTCTCTCCTTCCCTGGCCCTTGGCAACCATTGTGCTCCTTTCTGTCTTTATTATTTTGACTACGCCATCTCATATAAGTGGAATTATATATATTTGTCCTTTGTGACTGGCTTATTTCACTTAGCATAATGTTGTCAAGGATCTGACATGTGCTATAACATGTCCTTCCTTATTGAAGCGGAATCATATTCCTCAGGTGGAAAAGAATTACAACAGTGTTTTTAGTGTTTATAACTTCTCCATATTAAACATTGAGCCTATATTTTCATGCCTGATCCAGGTATAGTATATTGAGAAAGGGTTGGAAGCACAACCCTCTCAGATGGTTCTTCAGGATGAAAATTCTGGGAATGGTTTCGGAGTGGCAGTAAGAGATCTGTCTGTTGGCTTCTGGTTGGAGAATATACTAGAAGTGTGACAGTTGTTGTGTCAGCTGGGCCTGGTTCATGTTGTGTGCCTGGTTATCAGCCATGATGGAGGAGATGGTTGGAAGCTATGGAGTTAGCTTATTGCCTAGGCCTCTGTCAGGGAATGTGGGCTGACAGTTTGATGGGACCATGCTATAAAATATCTAAAAGTGWCTGAAATATATTTTTTATTTGAAAAGAAGGTTTAGATTTTGGTTCCCCTTTCTAGTTTCAAGAATGTATGAGTAACTAATAAATATTTAAATCTTGATGTGCCTGGTGGACCCCTTACTACTTTATGAATTTAGTTACCTAATTTTGGTTGCTGCTATGAGATATCTCTCTCTCTCTCTCTCTGTCTCTCTCTCTCTCTCTCTCAAGTCAAGTGTAAATGATCAGATGGCCATGTCCCCGATTCTGCTTCCTCCCCAGTTGGAGCCCTGAATCCCAGCCCTGGCTGTGCTTCTGACTGGAGATGGATGTTGAGAGTCACCAGGCTCCTTCCTAGGCCTTATGTTCTTCTAGGAAAGGAAAGAAAACTGGATCACTGCTGTAGACTTGTTCTGGTGTTTAATACTATATGATTTCATTCATCTTTCAAGTCTGTTGATGTTGATTTCTCCCCTTTTTTTTTGGGGGGGGGGGTAAACTAGATATTGAATTCAATTCACTTACCTTACCACTGAGCCACATCCCTAGCCCATTGTTTCACTTTTTATTTTGAGACAGGGTCTCACTAAGTTTCTTAGGGACTCGCTAAATTGCTGAAGCTGGCTTTGAACTTGTGGTCCTCTTGCCTCAGCCTCCTGAGCTGCTGGAATTACAGACATGCACCACCATGTTGGGCTATTTTTTCTTTTTGTAAGTGGAAACATGTAAACTTGGTATCTAATTAGTGACTTTTATTGTAAAGACAATACTYCCCAGGTTACTGACTGGCTGCTGAAGTTGCTCTTGTGACTGTTTCTTTAATCTGTGTTGTATGGAATAGTTCAAATAAGTGTGTCTGATTAYAAATTATAAGTAAGAGAAACCAGCAGGCTGCATATTTTGATGCAAAGAGAAGCAAGATCTTTTCTAAACAGAGTGGGGTGGTTGGGGTTGGCTGAGTATGGAGGGTCTAGTTTCATGGTAAAATAAAGAGGGGGAATCCAATATGCAAACATGTAACAGGAACCCAGTGAGGATGCACATAGTTAATAACCTCTGTCCCTTCATGGAGGAAATGCAATGCCAGTGCTTATAAACCTATGTGTAAAGATGAAGTACAAATAAAAGTGCCATTTATAAAAGCCATCTTGTCACTTTCTAAAAGACCTAATAGAAGAGGTATTATAACTTTAAATAAGATACAAACAACCTTTTCTTTTACTTAGACTCTCTGATGATAGATAATGTTGGTTGAATCTCTAAAATAGCAAAAAAAAATCTAGACCTGTTTCTTTCTCTTGTCATTTAGTTAACAAAACTTTTTTCCAAACAAAAAAGTACCAAATGGCATCTACATTGTATCTACATTCCTGTCCTCAAACACAGACACAGCCAATCAACCATTTTCCTAAGGGCAAATTATTCTTATCTTTTATGAAGCACTCCTGTTAGGAGAGTGATTAACCCCTGGAAGGAATTGAAGAATAACTAAGAACAAGACAGAAGTTCATTTTCATGGAGAAAATTTGACCAGACAGATTTTAAAGGGCATGGCTTGGTACTTTCTTTCTTTTAAAACTTACCTTTGTTATTGTAAATTAGGATCTTAAGAGACTTTACTTATGGGTGACTAGTTCTTGCTGCTATAGAAATTATTTCTCCTCAATGTTTATAACTGTCTTTTCAGACTCTTAATATTGGCTTTGCCCACTGGACCAGGTTGCAGCCTGCTGGTGGTGTATAGCTTCATTCCCCCTACCTGCAATGGTACACATTGGAGTTCCTGAGCTCCTGCCCCTTGGTGTACCACATGCAGAAAACTTTGTTTAAAGCAAATAATCCAAGTGGTAAGGACTAGATTTAGAAAACTTTTACTTTCTACATAATAAAATAGGTTCAATTTCTTCTTCCCATACAAAATAGAACTGTCCAGAAGAAAAGCCATGAAAATGCATGACCCCATCACATTCCTCCCACCATTTGCAGCTGTTAAGTCTTCCAAATACAATTTGTATCCAGGGAATAATTTTGTTTTGAAAGAGACTTGTTGACATTTCTCAGTTCTTCTCCCAACTCTGAGAGGATTCACCACTCAGAGGTGAGTGACTACAAGAGAAAACTCACCTATCAACCTTCCTGCATTCTTTACAGGGTGGGCTTCTGAATGGAGGGTTTCTCTGGAGCCAATAAGTGGAAACATGAATTTGGGGATAGTCAATAGTCAGACAACGAGGGCCTGTGTTCTTCTAGCATAACCTCCATTGACTTCATTTATGAGTTGAAAATGGCATTCAGGATTATCTAAACTAGGTCTCCAGAGTGGAGTTTGCAAGATTAACTACTTGGAGTATGGGAGAAAATACTAAAACTTTAATTTTTTTATATTCAAAAAATAAGAAAGGTTACATTTTACTATCTACAACATATGAATCAATATAGGCACCCACTCCTGTTCTTTAGGTCAGAAAGCCATGTGTTAAATAGGATATAGACAGTGCCATGAGAAGGGAGTGCATTTGTCTTACTTGGAAACTTCCACTGTTGTTCCCTCTCGAGTGGGCAGCAAGTTGCCTCGTATTTATATGTGCTCAGGTAAGTCAGTTTTCAGAAGATTAGTTATTTTCAGACCTCAACACCAGTGACACCAGACCTCACCACCAACAATAGAACAAGAATTCTGGGGGTGGAGTGGGGGGAATGAAAGCAAACACCAAGTATGATTGAAGCTCTCATTGTCTGTGCCAACAAGCACAAATGAACAAATAAAAAATGGATGAGTTGACACTTGGCTAAGTTATTAGCCAAGTTATGGGTTAAAAACAATAACAATCCATCAAGTCTTATAAGTTGGCCCTCTGATCTCAAAATTGAGATAACTAATTAAAATACAGATTTATATCTACTATCATTAATAATGAGCATGTTGAAAGGAAGGGTATACTTTGCTCTGAAAAACTTCCTAATGATAATATGAAGATGTCATGATTAGAAAAACAGAGAATAACCTCTACAATTTTTCCTTCATGTCTAATTCACCTACTAATCCATGAGTGTGTATTGGATAGAGAATGGTGGAGACTGAATCCAGGCCCTCGCACATGTTCAGCTTGTGCTTTACCATTGAGTGGCATCCCAGGCCCCTTACCTAATTTTGTGAATAAAAATTCACTAAACTAAATGGCAATCATTTCGAATCCTCTCTTGAAATTTTATACTCATATGCAAAAATATAGAAGTATCTATCTTTCAAAACACTTGTTCTGCCCCTAACTTTTGTCCTTCCTGCTTGTTCTTGTCC